AAAAAAAAAAAAAAAACAAGGAAAATACAGACCAAAGTTTATAAGCAAATATTTTGTTTTTGTAGGAATGCTAATGAAATGATCCCTAAATAGGGATTATTTCTTATGTAGGCACAACATAAAAGCCATCCTGCCATCCAACAAATATTTATTGAGCATCTACCAGACACCACACACCATTCTTTGGCACTGAGGCTGCATTAGTAAATGAGAAAAACAAGGCCTCTGCTATTGTGGAGTTGACATTATGTAGTGGGAAGAGAATCTCTAAATAGTTAAATAATGACTGCAGACAGCACAAATTTTGAGCACCTGTTGGGTGTGACATAGCCAATTAATTGTTAAAAAGGACTTTTCAACTGATAAAGGATGTCTGTCTTAACACAGGAATGGTTTTTTTTTTTTTAGTGTGCCATAGCCCTGCACACATGCATCCATGATCACACATGTCAGTCACGGCGTGGCTTATGGTTCTTTGTGTCCATCTCCCTGTGCCACAGCTGCACCCAAACTGACAGAGCAGCATCTTATCATTTATGTATCCATGCTTTCCCTTCACCTGGAATATGCCTGACATACAAGAAACACACAGTGCATATTGGTTCAGTGAATGTGTAGTACCTTACCGTTAGTGAGGTGTTTTCATCTGGTTTATCTCAAATTGATCTACACCACACCCATATAAGGGAATAATTTTATGGTAGAAGCATAAAAAGATGAAAAGTTTAAGAGTTTAAGTGACTATTTATGGTCAGGAGGAATATATGTGATTTTTATGCACCTGTGAGACAACCATGGGTCATAAGTAAACCTGCTTTAAGAACACGAATTTGACCTCAGATTTCCCTTGTTGCGAAAGGTCATAGAGGATCATGTCTGTAACTTGGGTTTCATTTTGTCAAATCTGTGAATCTCGCCAAAAGCTTTTATCATCTTTCTTTTGCCAGACCGCTCCCACTTTTATCTTTGAGTTTGAGAAACCATTCTGAAGTTTGTACAAGCTGATAGGACTGAAGTTATAAGATAGTTACTCCTCACTGCCGTCTCATCCACCACCACAGAGCTCCTGCTAGTGCCAGGGCTGCGTAGTAGCTTTACGTAGCTTACGTGCTTTATATGCATTGTCTTCTTCAAGCCTTACAATTCTGGGAACTGTTTTCCAGAAGAGGAAACAGAAGCTTGGCAGAGGTAAGGATCAGCCTAAGCTTACATATGAATGGTGGAGCCTGGCTTCCATGCTGACTCTGCCTGACCCCAGAGTCCGTGCACTGAGTAATTATACACTGTCTTAAAAGGCTTGCTTGAAAAATAAGTTAAATAAAAGTCATCATCGTGCTACATATTTAGTAGAGGAGAAGCAGCTCTGCCTACTTATAAGAAAATCATCTGTGCATCGGTTTATCAGGAAATACAAAGTGATTTTTTATTTTTTGTAAAAATGATTCTTTGCTTTTGCTTTAAGAATAAATAATACACCTTTGAATGTTTTCCGGGGAGCAAGCCCCTCCAGTACACCTAATTTATTTTATTTGCCACTTTTCAGCCAGTAATGCATCTAGGAATAGAGGATTAGGCTCCCCGGTGCAGGTTCCAAAGGCTGAATGTTCTAGTGCAGTCAAGTTTGACCCAAACAACAAACACAGGTTTTGAGTTCTTGCAAGGGCTTTGTATTGTTATTTGCATTTTCTTCAGAAATCTCAGCCATGTTTATACATACCAACCATAGATTCTCATTGTTGGGAAGTGCTTTCGCAGTCCTCTTTGTAAGAATCCTCTCTATGGCAAAAATTCTCTATACACAGCTTTTGTCGGTCTATTGTAGATCTACATTTCTTTCTGAACATTGGACACACAAATGAATTTTACTGTTTGCTTTGAGGGGAAACATAATCCAGACAGTGGACTATTTGCTTTTTTATTTAACCTCTTTATTTAAAAATGTATATTGGTGTTCCTCATATACAGTGTTCTTTGATTGGATCGCTTTTTTTACCAAACTTTTGTACTTAATTTTGTCATCTTTCCATGGCTGAAATGACAATTGGTGTTCTTTTTTTTTTTTTAGAGAATTTATTTATTTATTTGACAGAGAGAGTCACAGCGAGAGAGGGAACACAAGCAGGGGCAGAGGGAGAGGGAGAAGCAGGCTTCCCGCGGAGCAGGGAGCCCGATGCGGGGCTCGATTCCAGGACTCTGGGATCATGACCTGAGCCGAAAGCAGACGCTTAACAACTGAGCCACCCAGGTGCCCCTAGACATCTATTTCTACCCCTGATTTCAAAACATATTGTTCTGTATTTTCTGCTAAAAATTAACTTTTGACATTTGAAATTTTAATCCACATGGAATTTATTTTTGTTTATGGTATTATTCAGATCTAGCTTTCTTTTCTTCCATATGAATAGTCTAGTCTCCCCACGCTATTTATCGAATACTCCATTGTACCATAAATTACTTACCTAAGAGTCATTTCCCTCTTTCTCATGTTGGCAGAACACCAATTTGTTCCAGTGTCTACTCTTTTCCCAAATGATTCAGGCAAATCCTGATTGCTCTCAGAGTACATTGGCATTCTCATTTCCCTACCTAATGATTAGTTTAGCAGTTCAAGCCAAAGACAAGCAAAGAGTAGTTTGCTGGAAGTGTTTCTAGGGAAGATTTTCTTTTGCCCTGACAGAAGATACGTAATGAAGAAACAGTCTCTTTTTTCTGCTTCTTGATGTTTGAGACATGAGCATTTTGTGGTAATGAAGGGAGCTCACTGAGATCCTGAGGAGGACAGGCAGAACTTGGATCTTTGATGACTTTGAACCTTAGCTCAAATATCTTGTTTTGTGAGATAATAATTCTTCTCATTTTTGAGCCACTTAAAAAATGTTGGTTTTCTCGGGGCGCCTGCATGGCTCAGTCGTTAAGCGTCTGCCTTTGGCTCAGGTCATGATCCCAGGGTTCTGGGATTGAGCCCCACACTGGGCTCCCGGCCCAGCAGGGAGTCTGTTTCTCCCTCTCCTTCATGTTCTCTCTCGCTATCTCTCTCTCTGTCTCTCAAATAAAATCTTTTAAAAAAATGTTGGTTTTCTTATTTAGAGCCAAAAGATATTCATCTTTTTCCT